ATTAATACAAGCTTTTGAGTGATTATTTTATAAGCAACTGCGGGGTCTGTGGGGCTGGGCAGGACCAGAGAAAACTTCAGCTACACCAAGTAGCTTTTTCCTAACAATTCCCTGTGTGACCATGGCAAATGCAGCCCTGTTTCAAAAGGCTCTTAGATCAGTTTTCACATATGTAAGGTTTACAGAGGGTGGGTAGAGGGAAGACAGAGAAACCACCAGGGAAAGGGAGGCATGGCGATTATGCCAAGTGCCGGAGGAGGGCGTTATTCCGAAAGGTTATGAGAGTCATGATAGTACTCGTCAGTGACAAGGTTGTGAGGCCACAGAGCCCAAAGGTCGTGCTCTAGGACGGTTACAAAGCAATGGCTTCAGCAGCCTGCGGCCCTTCCTAGATCTGCACAATCTCAGAATATTAACAGGACAACTCATCCACTTCATCTCTCTCTTGACAAATCCCTTCAATAAAAGTGCAGCTGCCGCTGGTACAGTTCTGGCCACAGGGAACTCATTACTTCCCAGAGAAATGCACGTAGCTTTTGGATAGCTCGCCACAATTTTCCTAGTACAGAGCGGGTAAGTCCCACCCAGTGGGTTCTAATCTCATTTTTCAGGGCCAGAACAAGTTTAGTCTGATCCCCATGTCAGACAATTTTCTTCAAACGTTTTCACATCTCTCCTGTCTTCTGTCTGGCTCCTCTATTTTTCTATTTCCTTTAACTTTTCAACTTGGACATGATTTTAAAAAAGTGTGTGTGTGTGTGTGTGTGTGTGTGTGTGTGTGTGAGTGTGTCCCCTAAACAGATGCTTCTCTTCTTGAGGGAGGCTCTGATTGGACAGTGTCCAAGATGAAATGCAGCAGCGTGGATGTGGCTCTACTAATTCAAGTAGTCCAGCCACAAATATACATTAAGGAAAACCAAAGGTTTTTTTGTTTTGTTTTGTTTTTTGGTTTTTTGAGACAGGGTTTCTCTGTGTAGCTTTGGTGCCTTTCCTGGAACTCACTCTGTAGCCCAGGTTGGCCTTGAACTCACAGAGATCTGCCTGCCTCTGCCTCCCAAGTGCTGGGATTAAAGGTGTCCACCACCACTGCCCAGCTGGAAAACCAAAGTCTTAAAGAGCCTTTTAAAAATAGTTACAGGTCTAGAGAGATGGCTCAGATCAATGGCTGCCCTTCCAGAGGACCTGGGTTCAATTCCTAGCACCCACATGTTGGGTCACAACTGTCTGTAATTTTAGTTCCAGAGAATCCAACACCCTCTTTTGGCCTCCACGGGCACCAGGCATGCAAGTTGTGCATGGACATGTACATACATGGTGCATAGACATGCATGCAAGCAAAACATTCATATGCATAAAATAATAAAGAAAGAAAAATTTAAAAAGTTGCATCACAGTATCTGACAGGTCCTTCATTCAGCAAATGTTTTGCACCTCTATTACGTATCCAGTGTGGTGCTCAGCATCCAGTGATGTTGAGGAGGACCCTTTGGTCAGCTCTCTCAAATTCTGCAGTCGACAATTCACTTTTCACTCCCAGAGAACAGATTTACACTTGTACTTATTCAATTTAATCTGATTGACCGTGGCCCACTGTGCCATCTGGCAAATGTTGATGGCATTCAATGTATTCAATTCTGCTTCCCTGCTTTATGCAATAAAGTACTATTGTTATTTAAGGCACTATGTTGATTCTTGGCTGTAAGGTGGTTTATCTAACCCAGTTGTCTTCTGGCATATTCCTTTTTATATCGTTTGGAAAAGCAAATGAGAGACTTTATGAATTTTTCTTCTAAAGTCAAGCTATGCCATCCTCACAATACCTATTTGAGCTCTCACCTTGGAAATTGTTGTAAAAAAGAGAAAGCTCACCATGTCTTATCCTTGCCAGCCCTGTTTTGTGTTTTAAAGCCCCAGATTTGTTTTCTAGGCAACCCTAAAGTACATGAATAATAATAATAGAAAATGTCAAGGATTGTTCTAAAGCTCATCAGTCTGAGGCTTTCAGGATCTTCTTCTTTGTAAAAGGAAGAGCATACTCCAGTCTGCTTCCTGTGATGTCTAAACGTTAGCAACAGTGGCTACGCTACCACTTTCTTTACTGAATACCCCAATAGGTAGCCAGCCTGGATATGGACAACGAAGTTCGTTGAGGGGACTGTTACTCTGCTCAGGACTCAGTGCACCCATGTATTCTGATTACTGCCCGTCCCACCTCCCACCCGTCAACTTCCCTCGTTACCGTCGGTCCCTTCTCCAGAGTCAGGAATTCCGGTTTTGTTTTGTGACTCATTCAGTTTAAACAGGGCTGGCTGTGTGACCATTGGATTAGAACGACACAC